ATGGGCATGGACCCTGCCGGTCCCTGCCCTGCACCAGGCCGACAAAACCCCGGGGCAGGTGGGAGCGCAGGGTTCAGCACCTCCAAAATGCTCAGGCTCACCCCAGGGCTGCGCTTGTCCTCGCTGAGCATCAGCCCTGGCAGGAGGCAGGAACCAGGGGGCACAGGAGCCACTGCACCCCCCAGTAAGCAAGTACCAGCCCAGGGCTGCCACCTTAAGCTCAGCTCTTAAACCCTCCGTGAGCGTAGCCGAAGTAGGGGAGGGGGGCAGCCCTGCTATTCCCTGGGGAGCTCCCAAGGATCTGGGCAGCTCGCATGAAGCCATCCCAGCTGGAAGCATGCAGGGTGCTGCGAGGTGCAAGAGTGACACCACAAAACCTTCGCAGCCACCCCCAGGGCTAGAGACAGAGCAGAGCCACCTCCCGCTTTTTGAACAGCTTTATTTCGTTGCATCCCCGTTTTTCAGGGGAAATCAAGGCCCACGGCCACGTGGAACGTGAAGAAGCGCAAAGTGCTTTAAGCCTCTTGTGCGGAGCATGGCCCAGCCGCTTCCCAGCAAGCTGAACCAGCCGCAGCAGCTCCACAGCCCAGCTCTGCTCAGTCACCAGCCGGTCAGTGCTGGGAGCTGCACATGGGATGGCTTTGTGCTCCAGGAGCCAAGAACTGCCAACGCAAGTGTTTCTCCGGGAAAGGGAGACCCTCACCCCAGCAGGGCACACTCAGGCCAGGAGAACTGGGCCGCCTCCACTTGGGCCGCAGCCATGCCCCCATCGCATCTACCTGGAGGTTGCTCCGGAGCGAAGGGTGCTTGTAGCAGAGCATTCCCGATGTCCCTAAGCTGCAGCCTCGGTCTTACCTTTGGGGGGTTTCGCCTGCGAAACGAACAGGGGCATCTTAATATACTAGAGACAAGAGGACAAGCCGAGGCAGGTGGTCCTGCGCTGCTCTGCTCAGTCCCGTGCAACCAGATTCATTGTTTGAGACCCCCACTCCACTCGTGATTTGAGATCAGGCATTAGGAAGAACTTTTTTTCCCCCCAGTAGGACGGTGCAGCCCTGGGGCAGCTCACCAGGAGCTGGGGGATCTCTGTCCTCAGCGGTTTCTAAGACTTGGCCAGATAAAGCCGAAGGTGACCCGAGCTAGGGCTGGCAGCTCTCCTGCTCTGCGGGGGCCTCCCAGGCCACACCCTGCGACTCCCTGACTCACCAGGGCTGGGCAGCGCCAAAGCGGGAATCACGCACGGCAAGAAAACCTGTCACGGAGCCGCAGCGTCAGCACCGACACGGCGCCAGGGCGCGCTCCGAAGAGCTGCCCTCTCTCCACACGGAGTTTGGCCAGATTCCGCTTGGAAGAGGGTGAATAAATGCGGAGCTGGGTCAGGTTTCTACGGTAAGGTCCCCTCGGGGACTCCTTGCTGTCTAACAGTAGTTGAGGCCGTGGTACAGCCTCCGGACACCAGCCGAGTCCCTCTCTTCCACTCTGCTGCCTGTTGTCATTAAACTTGCAGGAGTTTAATCTCCGTCAGGTTCAGTTCAGACCAGCCACCAAGCCCAAGAGTCGAAGACTAAGAACTGCTCTGCCAGGGTTTTCCCAGATCTTGTGAATTGAGTTTAACCAAGGGGCAGAAAATAATTAAATCTGCTTGCAAAACTTCACTCAAACCTCATCTCTCCGAAGTGGCCCCATCCTTACCTCCTCAAACTTCTCCTTCCAATAGAAGTCAGCCTTCGCATCCAGGTAGAGCAGAACCAGATCACAGACCACCGTGGCCTGGAGACAGACAAACGCAGCAGGGCAGTCAGCAGTGAAACTTCCTGCAGGAGTGCCAGGCCCTCTGTCCTGGCTCCCACCAAGCCCTGCAGCCGGCTGCGGGCCAAACTCCAGCACCTGGCCAGTGCTGGGGGGCAGCGAGCCTGACCTGCCTCCCAGGCCACCCAGGCAGCTCCACCAGGTCCTCTTTGACCCAACCTGCTCCCATTAGCTGCACAGGAGGTTAGACGTGATCATCTGGGCTGCAATGCACGGACGCAGGGTGAGGGCTGGTCCAGCAGAGAGCCGCCGTCACAGCCATGTAAGGGACTGGGATGAGCATGTCTGGGAGGAAAGAGGGGGCAGGTGGGGGAGCCCTGGCTCCCCGTTACTCTGCTGAAAGGGAAGAGCCACAGAAGTGCTCTACAAAGGGGCTGCCTCGTCTCGATGACCACAACGCCATGTCCGTGCTGGAGCTGGACCCTGGCTCCCTTTAGAGTCAGGGGAGAAACACAGACAGGAGGTGCTCCCTCCTGCTGGCCGAGACAGCTGGAGCAGACCAGCCAGCAACGCCCCAGCAATGCGCCTTCCCAGGGTCAACACAAACACCCAGCCTCCCCGAGATGTGCCCCTGACAGCGCTCAGGATCCTTCATCCGGCAGTGTCATTACTGCTAATGATCACAAACAGGAAAACGGGAGCTAACACCCTGCGAGTGTTAACAATCTCCCCTCCCGGGCTGGCAGGCACCCAGGAAGCCTCGCGCCCAGGCAGGCGGGGGAAACAACAGACGAGTGGCAAATCCCAACCCACGGATCAGAGGAAAAGAGCGTATCTGGAGTACTCACGGCACCAAAGAACGCGATGCCAGGGCCGAAGC